CTTTAGCAGGAGCCAGTTGGCGAAGCTGCGCATCAATGGATGCCATCTTCTCTATGTTACGACCCGCCATTATCGCCGATCAGTGGGAATCAGATTCAGAGAGATGTGATAGAGAAATGAGAAAAGGAGACTCAAACTATTTATAGAGGAAGTGCTATAGACAGAGTGTTGCCCGAGATGCGCGCTTTTAAGTTAGGTTTATTTTTTCTATATTATTACTTTCTTTTTATTCTCTTATTCTTGTGAGTTTTTTTTTGTTTGTCAACATTCTTGTGAGTTTCTATCTGTGAATTAATTTGTTATCTTATCGCAGATGCTATGTAGTGCAAACATTATTTGATATTTCAATCCATCTTGATAGGAAAAGGAATAATTCTGACGAATATTCTTCATTTTTTTCAAATATTAGATTACATAGCATAAGAAAATATTTTTTTCCAAAACAAGTAGGAACATAAGGAAATATAATATTTTCGTTAATTCCCTTCCATTTAATTTAAAAGACTGAAGTTCGTCTTTTAATGTCGGTAATTCGCATAACTGTATGGATCGTTAGAAGTATATTCTATGTAGAAGCTAATTGTGAGAGTACTTTGCTGATAAGTTTTAGTTAATTATTATGTCAGTTTTGTGAAAAAGTCACTTTGACATTACACAGATTAAAAATAAACAGAAATTATTTATATTTGTATTAATAAAACCTATTTAACCAATACTATTTGATATAATTTTTTTTATAATTTAAACAAAATTTATTTTCTTATAACCAATGTATTTTATAATTAATATTAAATTAAATTAAGTATAAAATTATTTTGAATATTTAAAATGAAGAGTATGTAATAAAAAATGAAAATAACAATTTTGTGTAAGAGAACGAGTAGTTAAATAACAATTATGTTTGAATTTTGATTTTACTAATCATAGACCTAGTGGATTTTGATTTCTCAAATCTTTTTTCTGACAATTTTTTTTATTAGTTGTTAAAATATTAGTTATGAAATTACATTAACATATTTTTTAATTCTGATTTATTATAATATCAATTATTAAAAAAAATTATATAGATTCCATGACCAATAGATCTACTGTACATGTCTTATCTAGATTCATGTCTTATTTGGATTCATGTTTTACTACCCTAGATGTTGTATGAAGATCTACTTTTGACTAATTTTACTTGTATCCTTTTGAAGATTTCATATAAACTTTTACTCCATTGATCTACATAATATTTAATAAATTGTCTTTTCCGCGATTGAAAACTGGGACTGGTTTAACTTTTAGGTTTTTGTTTTTGTGGGTAATTCTTAGCTTTGGTAAAACAGAAATTAATTGTTTTTAGCTTAAATATGTATAAACAGTATCGTGTGAGCTCGTGCATGCATTTTGTCTATACACGAAGATGCACAAATCTCTGACTCTTAACTTCCAGACAATCCAAGTTGACTTTATAATAAATTTAAATATCTCTTGATCTCTTTTCTGTTACTTTTAGAAGTTAATAGGTACAGACTAATTATTCTTCCTCAATAAAATGGCATGTTTATGACATTAACAACTAATACATGAAGGTCATGTACCCTCTCATGGCTGATCAATGGAATATTCGAGAGTTCGAATCATTGAAGACGTCATTATAATATGCTCTCAAGTCAGCCAAGTTTGTGATTTGTTATCGCGACGTGGGTTCTTGTCTATCGGTTAGAACAATTAATTCAGTTTCTTCCACTTAATCATATCCCATACGTTTCAAATTATAAGAATAATACAAGTCGTTTCAAATTATAAGAATAACTAAATTTTGATCCGCGCTTGAAAAGCGCGGAAATTTTTTATGATTAAAAATTTATATAATTGGGTTTTGTCTTAATTTAAAGAATATTTTGGTATAAAATTAGTTTACCAAAATTTATGGTGATAGTTGTTTTTCATTAGTTTTTACTTTTAGTTTTTATTTTTAGATTTTGTTTTAAATTTTGGTTTTTGGTTTTTAGTTTTTAATTTTCTATTTTTGATTTTAAGCTTTTGGTTTGGGTTTTTAATTTTTAGACCCGCTGAGTTAGTTTGAACTGATATTACCAACAAACAAATCTCAATTAATCGAACATGTAATTTAAAACTGAATAGATGACAAAATAATTTTCTAAAATGTTTGAAATAGTTTATTTTGTAAAAAAAAAAAATATAACCTGTGTTTTCAGCTTTTGGTTTTGGATTTTAGCTTTTAGATTTGGTTTTTGGTTTTGCTTTACATTTTTTAAAAAAATCTGTAAATTATTTAAGAAAAATAAAATAATAAATTATTTAAAAGTTACCATTAAAATTTATCAAGATAGAGTGATTGTTATTTAAAATAAAAATATTAACAAGTTTTAAAGTACATGATTTAAATAAGTGATCAATAATAGATAATTTTGTTTTTTTTTTAATATTAAATATTTTTGGCTAAAAATTATTAACATGTTTTAAAGTACATGATTTAAATAAGTGATTAATAATAGATAATTTTGTTTTGTTGAAAATATTAAATATTTTTGGGTCTGAAAATAGTAATTGATTTTTGATCAATTAAGGTGGAAAATTTATTTAATGTTTTTTGGAATTTTTGTTTAATATTAAGCCCAAAAACCAAACAATTAAATGTCATAAAAACAAAAGTAAGTTCAAAACTCTATTCCATAAATAACCGCCGATTTAATTTAAGTAATGCGGTTCAATCAACTATTTAACTTGTATTATTTGTAACATTTTAGAAATGGTCCAAATTTAAATGACAATTTGTATCAGTAGATAAAAAGAATGACTCTATTTTAATAGAATAGATACAAGCCGTTTCAAACTATCGAAAAATAAAGTTTTATTCCATATGAACCAAAATAAGTTCAACAAAACAGAATTTATTAAAATATACACATACAAATTGTAGAAAAGAAATAACAGAGTTTGTCCTGTAAAATTTTATGGAACAGACAAAATGTTTAAGGTTATATACAATTTTTACTAAGAATACAAAGGTTTATAAATTTTAAAACAGTACTTGAAAATTGGCTCTTGGGTAGACTGATTCGTTCGAACATTTATCATTGACCTTTTTGTATATTTAACGGGTATAATGATGAATAATGGTGTCTTCTTCATTTAAAATTTAGCAATAATGCCGAATTAATTATGCTGGAATCTCTATAGCTTGTTGATCAGTTTATATACTAATTGAAAAACAAGGTTCAATTATTGGATAATATATTGGATGATAGCTACATTAATTAATAAAGTTGTGCATTAGTGGTTTCGAGTGGGGTCAGGGTCGGTGATAATTCGGTTGACGTATATAAGATGATAGTTAACATTATTTATCAAAACCATTCAGGGAGGACAAGCAAATAGTGTTCGATTTGTACTCTCTATCTTAACATTTGATAAAAAAATATTGTAAGTGGAATGATTCATGAATGCAAACTGGTGAGGCATGGTATATACACTATCAAATAAATTAGCTTTTCATGTTGCGATGTGATTTGATTTTAGATCATATCATTTAATTTATAACTCTACTTTGTCAGATTTTCACTTATTTCTATTTTGTTTTTTCCTTCCACGTATTCATTATGCAAATTTAAATATGGATGATAAGACGTCAACAAGTTAACACAAATTACTAAATTGTATGTATTAGTTATCTCTGTTTTGTCTTTATTTATCAATTTTGTTTTATGTTAAATAAAAATTACTTTATTATTTTAGTCTATGTAGGTGTACCATTCTATGTTGTATGTGAATTCCATTGAAGGTCAGTTTGTTGTTTCGGAAAGATTTTAGAATCGTAGTCTATTAGAAACGTGTAGAAACACATTGAAAAAAACATTCTTATGACTTAGTTTTCTCTCTTAGATAAACAATAGAAAACAATTGAATACAAAAGTTGACCAATAGTGTGTATATATATGTATATAGTTTTCATAGAGAGATTTATAAAATGTTTCCATTTCTAATTTCTCTTCAAATTGCGTTGCCATGTTTCAAACGTTTTGTTTATGTGTATCCCATTTCCAATTCAGTGCAACCAAGATACCACTCATCATAATTTTTACATAATTTTCCCAAACTAAAATAAACAATTCTGACAAAAAATTCTCAGATTAAGATAAGTCTGTTACAATGTCATAATATAAATGGGAAGAAACTACAAGGCTACTATATGTAATTATGGACCAAAGGAGTAACAAAGCCCAATTTTTCCCACAGCAATGTAAGAAGTAAAGAAAGTGTTTGGACCGTTATGGCGTTTTAAGTTCTGCGTTTGTAGAGAATTTGGTTGATATCCAGAGAACAAACCCAAACAAAAAGTACCACCAACCAGACGAGAGTTTGAGATGCTTGGTTTCACATGGAAGTGGGACAAGAGAAGAGATAGAGATCGATAAAAAAATAAACAGGGGAAAATTCATTGAGCAACTAAAGACACTGCTAAGAGTTATCACCAGTACACCTACGAATGTCTTTCCATAGTAAGTTACCAGCTCTGGGATTATGAGTCACAGAAAGAGAAGTTTTTCTCTGATTCCTGCCACCAAAATTTAAGAGATTCAAAACGCATGTTCTAAAACTACTGAATGTGGACTTGTCTCACCTCTCTGCTCAACAATTCCTCAGACAACCAATTCAGATTCAACTTTCTCTGCCGCAACATGATTTGGGAAAAGTGTTTGGTAATCCAAGCTCCTCGCGGTTTCAAAAAAAAAAGAGCCACAGCTTCCTCTGGTGTCCCCACCAAGACACCATGTCCTAGGTTAAGTATATGTATGACCTTTCTTTCGGTCCAGCACTCTTCACCACTCTAAACACAAAAACAAGACAATCTGGATAATAGTAGGACCCACTATCTACTTCCTTTCTCTTTGAGTGAACCATCCGGTACAGTTCGCTGGTTCGGTATAGAGCATTTACCTATAGAATTTTTTTTCTAATTTACCTTTCATAAACCGAATTGGTTTACCCACCGGTTAAATCAGGTATCTATTAGACTATTACCATCACAACCAACAAAATGTTTTGGACAGAGCTTCTTCCACTTTGGAAAAATTTAAATTAACCGGTTATCAATCATAAAACCCTGATAAACCTGACAGGTTCTATTTGCATAGAAGTCAGAACATGATGAGGGAGGACAGTTTACACAGCAAATCTGACCAGTGACCAGAGACATCGTCTGAAGATAACAGAAAGAAACATACAGAAACTTATTTTTGTACTTATTATATGATGGCTCTTTCTCCACTGTCATTCAAGAGCGAGGTCTATGTCTCAGCTCATACATCAAGCCACCAAAGGTAGTCTAGTTAGATACTCCAGCCGTGGAGACATCCTCAGTGTCTTCTTCTTACAAACAGTTTCAACCTCGTCATACAAAATGTTGTAGTTGAAGCTACTAATGTTCCTGAAGTAACACTGGTCACTTCCAACATAGTCATAAACTTGTTGTGTTCCCCCATATCCATTAACCACCATGTTATTCTTCACCACCATAACTCCCTGCCCTTCTTGCTTATTCTCCAGCTTGCTCTTGAATGTTCTCATCATCCCATCCTCACTCTCTGATCTCTCCTCATTAAACCCCATCGTCACATTAGCAACCTCTAACGATGTATTGTTCTCTTTCTCCAAAGAGTCAGAATAAAGGTAAAAAGGAAACCTCCTGATCGATTTAGCTCCATAGACTTTTCTTGAACCTCTCTTGGCGTGAACACGGTCATCCCCTTGGATCAACTGATCAATAATCTGTAAGCTCCCATCTTTACCCAAAACCATCTTATTCACATACCTTAACTCTTGATGAAAACTGGTCACAACATCTCCATGAGAAGACTTCACCAAACCACTCAAACTAACCAACCTCTTCGCCTCTGTCTTAAAGTTCCCATTCAAGCCCTTGAAGTCAGAGACATAACTAACCTCCAAAGAGCTTCTCCTCACCTCCATAACCTTCCCTTCAACTACCTCCTTCTCATGATCCAACCAAAGATGCAAATTCGCATCAACATACCAAACATTCAACGCATTAGTCACACTAAACCCAACCTCATGCCCCTCCCCATCCAACAAACTCCCCAAAAAAGGCGTCACCTCAATATCATAACTCGGCAAATCAAAAGAGCCAATAGCTGTAACCGGTCTCCACAGCAAAGGATTGATCCCACCGGTGAAAACAACAGGAAAAGGCCAAACCGCACCAGCAACTCTACCGTCAATACTAACCACAACTTCTCTAAAAGGTCCATTACCACCAGCAGTACTAAGATTGTTAGCTGTAATAAAATCATTAGGAAGATTCCCATACCAAAACTCATCATTCTCATGAAAAGACACATAAACTTCAAGAACAGCTCTATACACATTCCTAGGAATCTTGAACTCCTTATACTTAGAATCACCCAAACTCGAGATCTCAAACCATAACCCGTCGTTTAAAGGAAGGTTTCTTGAAATCGGCACGATCATATCAGCTTGAGGAGAGTTGTGATAATGATCATAACCAGATGATGTTTTATCATCTCGTGGATAGTAATGGAAGATGATATCGACATGGTAAACACCTGTGTAGGTCTTATCCACGATGTTACCGAGGTAGACAGCGAGAGTTTGAGTTTTGTTTTTGACGAGTAGAGAGTGGTATCTTGTCACGTCTTTTTCGACGGACCAAACGATGCCGTTTCGTGTAGGCTCGGCTGTGCAGCTACGGAGAAGCTCTACACCGTCGAGCCAGACTCCGAAGATTCGGTCGAATTGTCTTCCTTGGGAGGTGGATCTGAAGTCGAGGATGATTTTTGAGAATTCGCGAGAGGGGCAGTGAGAGGGGAGAGTGTAGTTGGCGAGGACGGGGGGTTTAGTGTAGGTGTAGGCGAAGTCGTGGTGGAGGATATGATGTGAGAACGGTGGTGGTTGTTGAGTTGGAGGAGAGTTGGGAACGGGTGGCTTTTTGACTTCGAAGTAGCGGGTGGGTGACGTGGCGTTGTCGGTTGGGGAAGAGGAGGAGAAGATGGGAGAGAAGTGAGGTGGTTTGAAATGGGATCTGGTTATGTCGTGGTGATCGGCGGCGAGGGTGGAGAGAGAGTGGAGGGAGAAGAAGAGGCTGAAGATGGAGATGAGTGGAGGAAACGAGGAAGACGACATGATCGTAGGTGGAGCTGTTTGGTCTCTGGTCTGGTAATCCAACTTGATATGTCAAAGAAGCAACCCAATGATTAGAAAAAAGGTTAAGAATTTAAGATGATTCCAAGAGAAGAACAATCTCTCTTAACTTAATCATCTTGCTTATTTCGATATGACTTGTTTTGTTGGGAACTTCAAAGACTAACCACTGACTAGAATAATGTACACTCTAGATTGCATCTAGGGAAAAAAGAGTGCACTGAATACTACTACTTTTTAAAATACTCAAATTTGATATTCAATACATCTATCAACTATTCAATCAATTTTTAATACCTTTTAAACTCTCTTTTCACTCCAAATTTTTCTTTTTAAATATAGTAATTTATTTTTAATGCATTCACATAGGAGTATTAACTACTAGTACTACGTTTAGATTGGTAGCACGTTACCTTCTAGGAAATCAATCACAAAACGTAGCACATAACCAAGAATGTTTGATCTTTGAAGCAAAGCAATAGACGTTATCTAGTTGCAATCATATGATCAATATAAAAATATCAAAAGAATAAAAAAACCCTCACTTTGGCTAAATAATGTATCTTGTTGCTTTTATAATCAGTTATAAATTTGGCTGCACAAAAGGGTTGTGAAAGGAAAAAAAATGAAGATGGTAAGGCTAATAGATATTTATTGTAGTGATTAGTTGAGGATAGAAACTTTTATGAGAAGCAGTTAAAGGCAATGGAGGAAAGAGAAGATGAGAGGTAAGAATGCAAAAGTGAAGCCCGAAGAATGGAAGACAGTAGGAGGAAGTGGAAGATGGATGGAGAAGATAAAGATTAAAGATCTACCTGGAAGGTGAGATTGGTCAAAGGGTAAGCTCTGTAATGCTCATGATTGGATCTGATTCAACGGGAAAACAATCTCAAGTGATGCCTTTTTTGTCATATCAAATTCCAAACGAGTGTTTAATGAAACACATACTGATACTTTGATCACAAAAAAAAGCATTCGTGTCTAAACAAGTTGTAAATATTACGCACAAGTCTAATAAAAGACTAGTTCTTACATAGTGACTTCAAGAGATAAAGTACTCCTCTGGGGTGTAAAACTTCAATCCATTTGCCTACAATAAAAAAAAAAGTAACTTACTATCAAGAAAGTCGCCTAAATTATCTTGAGTGAGATGCCTGATGTTTTGTAACAAATACCTCTGCAAATTTTATATCTGCGTCACTGTGATCGCCTTTACTTCCTGTTGCATCCCCAACATAGAAAGATCTTATAGCACATAAGTTAGTATACACTAAACGATTGACAACGAGTGTAATCTTCAAGATTTTTAAGAATAAGCTTAGAGATAACTAACTTATCCATATCAATTTCATTTCCAGAATTAAAATGCTTCTTCATGAATTGCCACATTCCAGTTTTGGGTTTGCGGTAAAGGTCTTCTTTACCACCAGAACTTGCGACTCCACAGGCTATAAACACTTGTTTCCAGAATGAAACCATTATTAAACTTTAGCAACATGTCAGGGAGTTCACAAGTCCATTTGTTAGCTAATAAGAACTTACTTGCAAGACAGAACAAATCATAAACCCACATGCGTTAGCTTGTTTGCATCATAATTTCTTTTAATTACTCAAACACTAACTAAGATTTCTTAAAACAGTTTTCTTTAGTAGATAAAACAACGTTGTTAACTATGAGAAACTAAACTGCACTTCACCTGAATGGGGACCTCCACGCGCTTGATAAAACCGTCGAGACGTCCAATTTTCGAGTCAACAGCAGCTTGTCTTTTATTCTTCCACCGATCTTAGACTCATTCGTGAAAATAGCCTGATGAACATTTAAAATTAGCATTTCTAAACAAATTAACTGAGACAACTGAGTTACATGGCTTAGATGGAGTTCAAAATGAAAATAAATTACCAGCTTATAGCCTTGACTATGTAGACTTTGTAGTTTTTCAGGAATAGAAGGATACATAAGGGACCATGCATCTGCACCTACACTGAGAAAAGGGAAAACGAAAAAAAATATCATTCATTAAGACGTTCATGAATAACACAATTATACTCAGAAAACATATGCACTATAACACGAAAACAAATGAGCTGCCCAAATTTACTTGAATGCACTGTGAGAAGAACAAAAGCATTGTGTGATTGCCCTTTCTGGAAAGACGTAATCAGTGACGTTGAAAAACTACAGATCCAACAATCATAAATAGCCACTGGAAGAGTTTGGAAACAGAGAAGAACAACAAAATTATGAGAGACCACTTCGCTTCTTACATTTTTACAGATGTTTTTGCTAGGCATCCATCAAAATCAAATGCTAGTACATCACCTTATATTCGAAAGGAAACATAATATCTGAAGATGATTTCTGACCCGCTCAAGGAATATTACAGTCTCAAACACTTTCCACTTTGGTAATAGACTGGCATCCTGAAAAACAAGGATATTAGCAGCCAGAGACATAATGATTGGAAAACGAATACATATGCCAAACGCTGTAAACTTCCAAAGAATCAGATAAAGCTACGCAGTAATACACAACGTTAACCTAATTGACACTAAGAGTCTACGAGTGCCTAAAAAGGAGTGTCTACCCTGTACTTGTCCTTCACATCAGATGCTGAAAGAGAGATTTCTGCCTCAGCTACGACCAGAGAAGTTGACTGACTGATGTTCATCTGCATAACACAGTATTTAAAATCAATTAGGAGAATCTCAACATAAGGAAGAAACTGCCAAACAACCATTAGCATGAGTACAAATACATCTCATTGCTTGAACAGCTTGGGTTTTCTAGTAGTGGGTTGGCTCGTGTTGGTTTGCAGTTCATCTTCTTCCACCATCTCCCCAACCTTCATAAAAACAAGAAATTACAGGACAATGAAATTTCTTTACAAAATTATATTAAAAGCTATCTAACAACCTGAGAATGTTTTCTCTTGTTTGTCTCCTCCGTTAGCTTGTTCTCGAATCGTAGGACCAATTCCTTCAATGCATCCTGATCACCACTCTGTTTTATTGTAACAAATGAATCAAATACATAAGATGTGTGAGCAAAGCATACTTATACTTAAAATCACATCCATATTCGAAAATCTCATTCATTTTATGATAATACAGACTAACCTGCAGGGATGAAAATCCACCAATGTCCTCAACAGAATCAATTGGAACAGATTCAACAGGGAAACAACCCAAGTGATTCCATTTCGTCATATTAAATCCCCGGGAGTCTCTGACAACCAGTCCCAATCTCAGTTCCTTTGCAGAAATTGACTTAGAACACTTCTTACATGATGATCTGCTAGATTTCGCGGACTCAGCAATAACTTTTGAAGAAGAAGAAGAACCACTTTTCGTCTCCTTAATCTTCTCCCCACTTATATCACCATCTGACGCAGAATGTTCAATCTCTCCCACCTTCTCATCATCGACCTGTTTCAGTCCAACAGATACAATCAATTAATAAAAAATAGTAAGAATCTAGATGAGCAAAACGAGAGTGAGATCGTACTTCATAAGCAGGCTTCCACTAATTTCGCCAACGCATCTTGATCTTCTTTCTGCAAACCACAAACAACATGCAATTAACACAAACAAGTGGAGTCCAATTGTTAAGCTCTAAATGACGCGAGACTCTAAACCTCTAAAGCGGATAAGCATTTAATATCGTCTACGGAAGCAATCGATTCCGAATCGGTGGGGAAACAATCAAAATGGTGCCAGCTGGTCATGTCGAATCCGCCGGGTCCTTTGCTAATCAAACATACCCTGAGATTTTTCGAGGCGATCGAATTGGAACATGACTTGCAGGAAGATCGGTTCGAATTCGCATACTCGGCTACGATCGGCATTTTCTCCGGTAGAATCTTGTTCGTCATTGTTATCCAAATGTAAGGGTGGAAGAGATGGTTTGCTAAAACCTGTGGTGGTGATTGAGAAAATGACAAGTTCGAGATATGAGTATTGGCAGAACATAGTGATGCTAACCGGACTGGTTTGGGTAGCTTTCGTGTATCAAAGAACAAACAGATGTTGTGGAAACATTAAGGGAGGTGTATGTAGGCCTGCGCGTTCGGTCCACCATTCGGTTTCGGTTCGGTTTATACGGTTTTTCGGTTTTTCGGATCCTGATGTATAAGAACCATTCGGTTTTTTTTTAAATTCCGGTACGGTATCGGTTCGGAACTAACCGGTTTCGGATCGGTTCGGATGAATTTAATAAGAACCGCCAATATCCGTTTCATCTACGGACTCGGTTCGGTACCTGATTTTGACAACCAAATGTAACCAAAAATAACCAAACAATCCGAAAATAACCAAATTAAACCGAAAAAAACCAAACATCCGAAATTAAAAAAAAAACAAGTTTTAGACACATTACAAAAGAGGATAACTTGTGTCTAAACTTAGCAACATTCAAACCGAAACAAAGTCAAATAGCAAACTAAAAACATAAACTTCCAGCCGAGAGCCATGATCTTCTTGATCTTGTTCAGCAACAACAACATACTTAGTCTTCTTGTGGAATTACCTTGTCTCCATACTCTGAAAACACAAAATATAACCATTACTTAAAACTTAACATTGATATTATAAGAATTGAAGATTGAAGTTTAACATTGAACTTACCTCTTTCAAGTCTATCCACTTCTTCAAGTTCTTCAAGAATCTGCGAATTTGAAAGAACCCTTGACTCCATCTTTAGGTCTTGCTTCATCCACTGCTCTGTGCACATTAAAACCTCAACCATATAATGGGTTAAACAGCTCCTATGTGGATCTAGAAGCCGACCAGATGTACTAAAAGCACTCTCTGAAACAACAGATGAGACTTGTAAAGCTAAAACATCCCTAGCAACCTGAGACAAGATAGGAAACTTAGCTGAGTTCTTTCTCCACCATGAGAGTATATCAAATTCCATTCCCAGCATCACATCAGGGGTTTCCACAGACTCTTTAAGGTATGTTTCCAGCTCATCCTTCTTCTCTCTAACCCCCATCTCGTTTAGCTTCTTCTTGTACCTAACGTTCATCCTTTTGTAACCGACACAATCATCCACAAGCTCAATGTTTTGGTGACCTGTAGACTGAGATGATTGGTCCATTGCATCAACCGCGGCTCCATGTCTTGAACTGTACTCTTGGAACAAACTCCTCAAGACAAGCATCAAACTGTCATACATCTCCTTGTAATCATCAGTCTCTAGCCCATATAACTCTTCGAAACACATCTTTGCAAGCTCCAACTTGTTGATGGGGTCAAAAACAGTGGCTACCACTAACATCATGTTGATATTTTTCACGCCATCCCAATATTTCTCGAATTTCTTAAGCATCTCTGTCGCTTTTGACCTCATTTCAGAATCAGAGCTGCTGGAGAGTTCTACCAAGTTAGTCGCAATGGTTACTATCTCTGCATAGCAAGTATGTGAATTGAGCTTGGTTGAAGCCGAAACCACCACTGTGGAGTTGTAGGAGATGATAAGAAATTGTCATAGCTTGTCAATAGCATTCCAATCCTTTAGCTGAGGAGGTCCTATCCTCTTTGCTCCATTTTCAAACTCACTGAAGTGATCATTGTACAACTTGTCTTCTGCTTCCATCTTATCGAAAGCCACCTTGAAATTTTGAGCTGTTGTCAACATTAGGTATGTTGAATTCCACCTGGTCTTGACATCCAACGGCAGACTTCCCCTTGTAATCCTACCAGAATCAACTTTTAGCCCAAAGGATTTCAGCCGGTTAGTATGTGACCTAACATAGGAGATAGCATTCCTGACAACAGCTACATTGTGATCTATCTCAGCCATTCCATCTCTAACTATCAAGTTAATTATATGGGCACTGCATCTCATGTGTAAAAATTCCCCGTCTAACACAAAAGCATGATCAGAACCTAAACCAAAGCAACTCTGAAACTTCCTCAAAGCTGAAGTATTAGCAGTAGCATTATCAACGGTTATGCAAAACACATTTATTATTCCCCAGTCAGACAAGCACTCTAGAAGAACATTTGCTATAGTCTGACCTTTGTGATCCGTAATGTGTTTGAACCCAATGATCAGCTTCTTCAACCGCCAAGAAGCATCAATATAATGCACTGTGATGACCATATAACTCGCACCTAGATACATTAAACAGTAAGAAGTTAAGAACCCCATGATCAGCTTGCTAGTATATATAAAGAATTTAAAGATGTCTAATGTATAAAGTAATACCTGTAGTTGGTGATACCCAAATATCTGTTGTCAGAGATACACGTTGATTGGTACACAAGAACCATTTCTTCAGTGCAGCTTTCCTTTCCACATACATCTTGATAATGTCTTTAGCCGCAGTTCTTCTTGAATGAGGAATGTAACCAAATTTTGTCTACACACATAGAAAAGATAAGAGATTAGTTATAGGTTAAACTAGTGTTAAACATATAAAAAGAGAAGACATCAGATACTAACCTTGACACAGAAATGTTTCCATGCTACACTTTCAACGAATGATAACGGCAATTGTCCTAACACAACCATCTGATTCGTCGCTTCTCTTAGCTGGTCTGCAGTCAACTTTGCCTTCTTAAGTTTGCCTTCATCGTCGATTTGTGGCTGCTTATCTTCTTGTCCAGCCGACCAAGCAAGATATGTCTTACACTTCTCAAGATGGCTCTTCAAATTTGAAGTCCCTGAGCTTGTGAGACACGAAAATGTGTTCTGACAATAGTTACACACACATTTGTCTCGATCTTCTTTAGTCCTTGTGTAATGATTCCAAACTTCAGACCTTGTAGGGAGAATACGCTTCAATTTCTTCAGTTGAGACGTTGCTCCACTAGCTGGTGATGGTGATTCAATGTTTCCTGCATCATCTTTGTTATTGGTTTCTCGGTCAAAAGATGATGTTGAATCCATCTGCAAAAAAAGAAGAAGCAAAGCAACAAAATCAATTCACATATAAACCGTAAATAAGAAAGAAAGCTAGAAACCAAAATCAATTCACATATAAACCGTAA